TATGATATCTGTGCTTATTTGCCTATTCACATCTATTTACAATTAATATGCAACTATATAGGTTAGGTGAAACTTGGTTACTGAGTGGTTGTACTCACCCCTCAATTCTCAATATTTTCAGGACCTAGATCATCGAATCCGGGTAGGGGAAAACACACGAAGGCCTAGGATTGTGGAGTAATCCTCTTTATGTCTCTTTTGTTGTTTCATGTGTATTTCCTAATGTAATTGCAACTAGGAGCATTTGATGTTATTTTTGCAATACTTGAATTATTTTGTGTATAACTTGTGTATTTTGTGCCCTGGGTTAGTGAGTTTTGGTTGTAAACCTGTAGATAGGGCCAAAATACTTGTGTAAATAGGAACATATGTTTTTGAATGAATTAGAATGAAATTGATGAAATTGTGCAACTTTTCCTCCCCTTTGTGTTTTGTGAAAATTGAGGTTGAGTGATGAATTTATGATAATCATGTTTTTTATTATGTATGGTGCATTGCAGAGGTCCATTAAAGTCTATTAAATGTGGTCAAATGGTTAGTACGAGCTATTGGCATGCGTGATGGAGTTGGGACACCTTATTTGTGAAATTTTGTGAAAAAGTGGTCTAAATGAGTTTTGGTGTCCAGCTTTTTATAGAAAATGAGTTTGACCAGGAAACTGGTGCTATTAGCTAAAGTTAGGAGAAATATCCATGTAGACACTAAATCTACATCAATCAGATACTAGACAGAGATTTAAAACGCATCAAAAGTTCGCTCCCTATGCTATCAAGTGATAGCACTGATGCTGTCAAATTCGTGCAATGCACCACGGCATATGACTCCTCACATCGTGGCACATGTCACAGAGAAGACAAGCCACAGTGCATATGCAATAAGCCACGGCACACATGTCATTTTCTATACAAAATCTATTTTTAAGTTTTAAAACTCATTGTTTTGGGTCTCAATTGATTCCCAAGCTTTTGCATTACTTTCAAAAGTCTAATTTGAGCTTATTAAATAATGTTTATGATTCGAAACGTTGAATTTGGGATTCCTTTAAAAAAGGATTTGAGAAATTTCCTTTTTATGAAAAATTACAATTTGGTAATCCTTTGAGAGTTAATCCCTTGAATTGCCATGATTTGCAGTTAAATATGGATTAGTAAGGGAGACCTTACAATCTCAGGGTTTGGGTAGCAGACAAGAGATTCCTAGCATTAATCCATCAATTAATCATTCTTGGAAGATGTTTGTTCGATTCAACCCGCCAACTTTCGATGGTAGTATGAGAGAGGGGGAAGTAGAGCTATAAATAAATCGACTGGAAACTATCTTTAAGGTGGCGATCTGTACCCTTAAGCAAAATGTTATCTTGGCCATAGTGTAGCTGGTTAGTGCTGCCAAGAGGTGGTAGGAATCTGTGAGGCCGATTGGTGGTATTAGGTTGAGTTGGGATACGTTCAAGAAGGCCTTCTTTGACTAGTACTTTCCAATTTCCTCCAGGACTAAAAAGGAAGAATAATTTCATGCTTTTTGGTAGGGAGAACTTATTGAGGAATAGTTCATCAGAAGGTTTAATGACCTATCAGCTTACTCTACATATCTCTAGAATAGTGATGAAATGAAGTGGAAAGTTGAACAATTACTGGAAAAGATGAGACCCAAGTATTGACAACAAGTTGCATTGTTTGATGTGATGTCTTATGAGGAAATGTGCCATAAGTTGAGAGTAGTAGCTAGGTATGGTAGAGAGGCAAACGCCAAGAGGAGGTGAGATAGTATGGGGAGGTTTTCATCCCCTTTAGGTCTGACAGGTAGAGTTTCAAAGAGGCCTAGGTTTAGTATGGGCAACTCTAGTTCTTTGGGAAGGAGAGGTTTTATTAGAGGGTCTCAATCTTGACTTATGCATAGAAGATTAATGTAGAGAGGTGGGGGTGTAAGAATTGGGCCTCTAAAGTCTTCGAGGCAAGCGTCGAATGTTCCAAGTCTGACTCTAAGTACTAGAAGGACACCCCCAGTACAACATTTACGTCGATCTTATCTAGGAAGATGTTAGGCTTGCTTCAAATGTGGCAAGTCAAATCATATAACGAGGCAATGCCTGAAGGGCAAGTTGAAGGGACTAAGCAGAGATCTACAATTCCTGGTCAAGTGTTTGTAGTCATGCAGAAAGAGGCCAGAGTGTCTTCGAACCTGATTAGAGGTATGATTTTTGTTAGTGGTCTCTGTAACATCCCAAATTCCTAATCCTGTGTTCATGGTTAATTACGGATGAGTTAGTGATTTAATGTAGGGATTAGAGTTCTGAGTAGTGAAGTGATATATTGACTCATTGGGATATTATATGAATAGATATGAGTAGAAGAGCGGGGTCCTGAGGCAGAGTGGGTGAGCATAGAGAGGATTTTCCTCATTGTGCCACCCGCCCATAAAGCAGAAACTAGTTTAATAGGGACATGTCCAGCTCGAAAAACAGTAGGGAGAAATGTGGGAGGAGAGTTTTGGATTGGAGAAGAGCCAAGGCTGTGTTAGGGCAAGGTAAATCAGGAGTAAGGACAGTGTTTTTGACTCGTTACTTATTGGGTAAGTCACATATTGTCTTAACCTTCGAATCTACCCTATTTTCTCTTAGTCTTAATCAAGGAGAAAGTGAATTCGAGAGTTTTAAGGAGTTGATTTCTTACTTGATAGTAAGAAAAAGGTTCTCTAGAGTTAAACTAGTGCTTTATAAATGGTTAGAGTCGAAATGATAAAGTTTTGAAGCTTTAGGCAAGAATTGCCTTAATCTATAGAGAGAGAGTAGTGAGAGAAAATTGCTAGAAAATGTTAAAACTTGAAATGAGGGGTGATCAATGGTAATGTGCATAATCGAGTGTGAAATGTGGATTTAATAACAATTAAGTGTTTATTTGTGATAATTGACACTTTGACACTTTTGGTCAATAGAGGAATTGACTTTAAATGCCAATTTTGTGTAGATTTTAGTGTGTGATACATGAATTATGAGAGAGGAGCTTGAATAGGATTGAACACGGGTAACCTTTTCTCATGAACAAAAGGGTTGAGGTAACTATATAGCTTATTATGTTTATTAACTATTATAATTGTGTAAAAGTGAGTGTCAAATATCAAATTGTGAATTTATGAGTTTTAGCATGAACTTTGTATTGTGAAATAAATTTGAAAAGTTATTGATTTTTCATGAGTATATATATATATTGTGGAAAGATGTATGAGTTGTGAAATAGCATAATCATAGGGGGTGGGAGTTCACCCAGGATATATAGGGTTGTGTATGTGTGGAGATTTGTCACCATGAGACAGGTTGGCACCATGAGACATCCGGTGCATCATTATTTAGACTATTACCATGGGTAATTCGATACAACATACTATGGGGCTATTACTATGGGATATCCGAGTAGTCTGTCAACTCCCTAGTGCTCGTTAGGGTGCGGTTAAGAGTTAATGACACCTCTATTGCAAGTGTGTGAAGAGGGAAACTATAGTCTGTAGGTGGGTTAGATTACATTTGGTCGGGTGTTTCTACCATCGAAAGTGAGTTCAAATCAATAAGTGGTTGATCAAGAAGAGCTTATGGTTTCATGTCAGGGAGCTTTGGAGGATTGGTGGATAGTTGATCATGTTGTGGTAGAAAAGTGTTTGAAATGTGATTTATATGTGAAAAGATAATCTAGTATTGATATGTCATATATATATATATATATATCTCTGTGTGTGTGTGTAACATAATGTTTTCAGCTACTTTGACATAGTTATTTGTGGTAATAAACATTTAATGAGCTATATTTAGTTACTGAGATTTTTATCTCATCCGTGGTTATTTACATTTTTTAAGTCCTGGTACTAGTGGGTCAAAGGGAAAGGATATAGGCTGAGTTAACATCTCTTGCCTAAATCTATGTAAGATATGATGTAATGATTTGTAAATTATGAGCCAAAAGTATGTATAAGTTGCCATAGGATTTGTACATGTGCATTAGTTATAATTATGGTATGCTTTTATGATTTTGAACTCCCTAACCTTGTATGTGTGTGAATAAAGAAATGACTGAAAAAGGCTAGTGGATGGATTTAATTATGTGTATATGAAGTGGGTGGAGATTAAATGGAGTGATTTGGCCATATATGAGACTAGAAAATTAAGAATGTGGTTTTGGCCCAAAGTGTAAAATGGGCAGATTATAGGCCAAATTTGTGTATGTGTGTTATATTGTGCTTGTGTATGGACAATTAGGTGTATTTTGTCTATTTGGACTTAGTTAAGGCCTAAAAAGTGGCCAATGACATTTGTTTTGAATTAAGATACTTAAGTGGCAAAACTTTGACAGGAAATGGTCAAAGTGAACTTTAGTGTCAAATTTTTGATAGAAATATCGAATTAGGATGAAACTAGTGTCATTAGTTAGATTTCAAAATAAGCTTCGTGTGGGCACTTGAACTATCCCAATTGGACTTTGTGTGTGGAAATGGCATGCATCTGAATTTCATATCAGAAATTGCCATTTGACAGCAAATTCAGGTGTGTGTGCTGTATCGTATATACTCGCATGCCACAACATATGGCATAGAGTAGGCAATTGTGGCCTCTGTGCCATATGCCGCAGCGCATATGGCACAAGCCGCGGTGCACGGTGCAATTTTTCACTTTATTTTTAAGTGATGCACATGTTTTCTTAACTTTTGATATACCTAATTTGTATGCTTCCGTTGTGTATGTAATTGTGTATGGGGTTGAATAACCCAAATGATTACAAAATATTTTCTAGAGATCTTTTATTAGGATCCCAATATTTTCAATAATTTTTAACTTAAAGATTAGAAGTAATTAGTGATTTTTGTAGTGAAGCGTATGGTAATGTCAGTGAGGGCATTATAGTCACAAAGTTAAGGCACTGTTTGATTCAGGTGCCATACATTCTTTTGTGTCTGGGAAATGTATGGGTAGATTATATTTGTCATTACAAGAATTATCTATGATCATTAGAGTTACAATGCCTTTTGCATTGTCTAAGATTACTAGTAAAGCTTGTCAAGGTATGGAGATTCGATTTGAGGACAAAGTTTCCAAGATCAATTTGATTTGTATTCCTATGAAAGGAATATATGTGATTATTGGTATGGACTGGCTAGTAGTAAATAATGCTATGCTTGATTGTGTAAGAAAGGTGGTTTCATTACCAATGTGGTCTGCAATAATGGATTCATCTAAGCAACCTAAGTTCTTGTTGATGGTTAGTGCTAAGAAGTTGATTCGGCAAGGTTATAATGCATATATAGTGTTCTTTGCCTTTAGTACAGTGTATGATAGTAGAATCGAGAAGATTGAGATAGCAAGCGAGTTCCCTGAGGTGTTTTCAAATGTAGTGACTAGTTTAACTTCAGGAAGGGAAGTTAACTTCTCAATTGATTTGGTTCCTAGAACCAAACCAACATCAAAGGCTCCATATAGAATGTCACCATCAACATTGGCTGAGTTAAAGAAGCAAATTGAAGATTTACAAATAAAGGATTCATTAGACTAAGTGTAATAGCTTGGGGATCATTAGTATTATTTGTAAGGAAAAAGGATGGTAGTCTGCATTTTCACATAGACTATTGACAATTAAACAAGGTAACTATAAAGAACGAGTATCCTTTTACCAAGGATAGATGATTTTTAGGATCAATTGGCTGGTGCCTCAGTCTTTTTCAAGATTGATTTGAGGTCTAGGTACTATCTGATAAGAGTAAGTATAGTAGATGTACCTAATATAACTTTTAGAACTCAGTATGACCACTATGTGTTTTTGGTTATGCCTTTTGGTTTGACTAATATGTTTGTAGTGTTCATGGACTATATGAACTGCATATTCAGGCCATACTTGGATCAGTTTATTATAGTCTTTATAGATGGCATCTTGATCTATTTTGATAGTGAGGAGCAAAATGCAAAGCATTTGAGGATGATGTTCCAAATTCTCTTATATCTGGAGGATATGGGAGGAGGTTACACTTCATATCCCAACAGTAAGAATCTAACTTTTCTATTATTACAATTGCAACCTTCCCCTATTATAGATGGCATAAAAGTGCCTAGGACATCAATTAAAATGAGCGACACTACTCTTTCAACACCACATTTCAAGGATGGTTGTGCAGACCTTAAGGAGGATTAAAAGAGCATTTCTAAGGTACTTGAATATATGATTGTTACATCTATCAAGAAAAAGCAGGCTAAGTGGGCAACCCTTGAAGATGAATCTCCCAACCTTTTCGATTTCTTTGCCCAAAATTTCACCAAACCTAGAACTAAGAGGGTCATCAAGAAAGAGGAGGATTGTTGGAATATGTGTAATCCAAGACTAAGACTATTATTGTACTGTAATGCATTTGTGTTACGTTTAATATGCTTTGTTGTTGTTGTAATGTATGTCTTTGGGTACCCTATCAAAAATTTTGAGTGTTTAGATATTTGTGGTACTCATTTGCTTTTACTCTCCTATTTTTGTAATCCTATAATATGTGGTAGGCTAATTTGCTTCCATGTTTATTAGTGTAAGTTATGAAACTACATCAAGCATCCCTTTAGATATGCTGTGGCAAAATTATTTCTTCCTGTACTCATTTATGGGAATGGCTTCAATAGTTCAATGTTAAAATGAAACTTGACAATAGGAAAATATAAGTGTATCAGTTAATAGTTTAAACTACACAATTAGAAGTGGTAAACTTGATAAAGTTTGGGTTCAATTTTTTTTTACAATAAAAAAAGATTGAAAGTACTTAATCAAATTGAGAATAATGAATTTAATCTCACTATTAAAAGCTATAAAACTTTATTTTGACAAAAGTTAACAACTTTTGATGGTGAAATTATTTTAAAAGAAGTAAACTTTATACCTCAATAAATGATGTGATTATTTTGTTTCCAATATAAACAACGTTGTTAAAAGTTTAACAACTTTAGATTTGCATAATAATTTTGGTAACATTGTTTGAGAGTGTTGTTTACTATTATATTTTTCTTTTGGTTCTTGATTGTGATGGCAAAATAAATTTGTCCATGTCTAAGGTTTATAGTTGCTATAAAAAACAAGAAACACATACCCCTTAATTTTAAGTCCTAAACATATGTACCTATTTCATAAAAAAGCTAAACTAACCGGCTTTTATTTTTTTTTTGTTTTATTCTTTAGTGCAAACAAGAAACACATACCCCTTACTTTTGAAAAACAAGGAACACATACCCCTTACTTTTAAGTTCTAAACATCGATACCTACTTTTCCTATCATATGTGCCTATTCTACAAAAAAGGCTAAATTAGCCAACTTTTTCATTTTGCAGTTTTTTTATTTATTTACGTAGACACCTATACCCACTTTTTCTATAAACTTAGACAGAGCTGTGCATTACAATGGACAAACAAAGTAGCTAAGCATGTGTTGGGAAAAATGCATTTTTTGTTTCTACTTGGGTCTTATTTTTTTCTCACTCATTTCAATAATAATGAGTTAAAAGATGTCAAATTTATAGGGCTATTTTTCACAAAGTTGAGTTGGATCGCATTTGATACACATCAATATTAATTTCTCACTGGCTATCACCATGAGTCATAAAATAAAATACAAAGATATTTCCTCCCTTAAAAATGTTCAACTTTCTATTCTTTACTACATACTCAATTGTTCATAAAGGTGGATTTGCATCTAATATCTTTCCCCCCGCTGATAAAAGTGGACATCTATAACACAAGCATATTGAAAGTGTAGCAGTTCATCCATCATTTTGTATGCCAAGTATTTCTGTTTGTGATGCATAACTCGATATTAGCAAAAAAATTGTTCAAGGACTGTGTCTATATGTGATAATTAGTTTTTCACTTGCTTTATAATATTCTTTTTTTGTATATAGATATAAATTATACATTTCATATGTATTAGTTGTGCATCACTTTTGCTAATAATTTTCATTCTAACATGTAAATCATAATATTTAACAAGAATTTAATTAAATAACCATGTATGCATATATGCTTTAAAAAAACATTTATACCATTGTTGTGTGGTGTTAAATTTGCAAATGATAATATTTAACAACTTAAATAAATTCAATTACCCAATGGTTGTACACTTGCTTTTTAAATAACTAAAAAAACAAACACAACATTCTAAGTTGATTCAAAAAAATAAAAATATGTACAATATTAAATCAATTTTAATTATAACGCCATGTGCATCTTTTTAAAAAGAGATCAACATAATGAGATATTGTCAATTGAATTTGGTAAATCACAATATTGAACTATTAAATTAAATATAATTAAAATGTTATATGCATATTTTAAAACAATTACACATACGTTATATTATGAATCTATATTTCTTGATCAAAACATTAATTATGAAAAATTACTTATTTACATATGTAATACAAGTTATGATGTGAATATTATAATGTTTCATGATATAGAATATATATATATATATATATTAAAGCTAATAAAGCAACATTTAAATCGGAGATCAACATAAATGTTATGTAAGATTTGATTACATTTACAATTTTTTTGAGATGATTGCAATCATCAAAATTAATTAATTATACATTCATTATGAAAAGAAATTACATGAATAAATCCGTTAATTTGTAATTTTAAAATTAGTATCAAACATGTGTCATAAGATATTACTATGTTCAAGTTATAATATATTTTAAATTCAAATTTCTAAATGATAATATCAAACTAATAGAGTTAATACATCATACATTAATAAATAATCAAATGTAAGTAGGACCAAAGTGATTCCTTTGATTTGTAAAATTAATATATATTTAAACTATATTTTGTTATTGTTTAACTTACACTATATTTTAAACCAAAATAAGTAAATGCTTACATTTATCATATATGTTATATAATAACTTTTACCTTGCTTATATATTACAAATGTAATACATTGTAACTAACTTTTGTGGGTTATTGAAGCCAAATAATCTTAATTTAGCCATTACAAATACGAGAAACTCATCAGAAATGATTTATCAACCGCAATAACAAAAGCATAAGAATTAAAGCAATCAAAAATACAATTTTCACATCGCGAACAACATAAAGTCAGTTTCATACAACACCATATTAATTTCATATTTCAATAGGTACTAACTTGGTTGATATGCAACATACAAATCCCTATGATTATGACCAAGTACAGAAAATCAACCAAATAAATATACTCAGCCTACTTCGGTTCTTAGTCAACAACGTTCTAGTTCATTCTAAAAAAATAAAAAATAAAGATGTGCTTTGGGAGATTTAACCAATGCAGTAATTGATTTGTCAAAAAAATTTGATGGATCATGTACAATAGGTAATTTTATATCAAACTATGGTTCAATATTTTTTTCTTTAAGTTAACATATTTACAAAAGAAAGTTGTTTTTAAAAATGTATCCAATCATGGATAAATAAGGTTAAATTTAGTAACCAATATGTAGATGTGAATTATAAAGATGTGGACCTGCATAAGCCAAATACACTAAAAGATGCACTCAGCAACACAGATAATGAAGAACATGAAGGTGGTAAATATTTCTAAATTATAGTATATGTGTATCTGTATTAGTATGCTATGTTAAACATTAACTTATGATACATTAAATTATGGGCTTAGAATCTAATTATGGAACAAAGATAGTTCGAATGACAACAAACTTATTTGAAGGATCAAATGGTACAACTAAAATATTTATCTATTCGTGGTGAACAACAAATACTAGTTGTGCCAGAGACGCTAGTCTCAATTGATAACAAAAGGGTCTCGAGCTCCCTTACCATAGCTCACTCGAATGTAAAAGATATATAAGGCTTTAGTAGAATAAATGTTTGATTTTTATTGAAAAGTGAAAAGTTACAAGTCTAAATTAAAAGCAAAATTAAACTAATAAAACTAAAGGCTAAAGGTGTAGAATGAGAGTCTTTGATTGAGTGTTGACTATCTTTCTTCTATATATTCATCTTCTATTTATAGTATCAGGGTGGTGGTAGCTTCTTCTTTAAGACTTAGCATGTTTATTGAGGAATTAGGGATCTCGTGAAACTTATGGCGTGGTCTTTATTTTGTGTTCTCCATTTTTGATAATCAGCCCATCTCATCGAGGTACTTAGACATGATGTCTGAGGATTCTAGAATTACTCAGGATCCTGTCTTCATATGCTAACCATCCAATGTTTGTAACTGGTGGGATTTCGGCATGTTCATTTTAGTGTGGCTTTTATTGAGCTTCGGGGTCGGCCCTTTATTCATACTAGGCCTAACTCTTCAATTACTCAGCCCAATAAGCCCTATGACCTATTTGAGTGATGTTTCATACTTTAGCCCAAATAATGCCCCCTATGTGCTAGTAATATAAGCCCTGTGGCACATTTGAAAAACCTAAAACATCACTTTATCTCTGAGCACTATAAACTTATTTCTTTTCTAGTCAATTCTCTTGCCCTTCCTATCAGTTCTTAATATTGAAACTTTCGCCTCCCTTGCTCTA